ATATATATATATATAAAGGTGTTTTAAACCCTTCTCAAACTCTTGCAATATTCTAAACAATGTTTCTAAACACTAAACGTTCTATAATTTCCCTTTGGGATTAATAAAGTATTTTTGAATTGAATTTGAATTGAATTGAAAAGAGCACAGAATGTCATGATTTCAGCTCCCCGCCTCCTTTGCGCTTTGCCACCTGCAAGTGCTCTTGGCCACGCCCACTTCTCCGCTCTGCACTGAGAACAGCTGATCAGCTGCAGCAGGAAGCTTATCCTGCAGTATGGGCTGCACAAATGTGCAGCAGGTGCTAAATAATTTCAAACAATTTACTTTAAATAAAAATTTCATGCCGATCGTGTGGCTCATCCATCAGTCAGCCAATTGTGTGTCATGTCCAATCTTATTTTGAAAAACTGCGATAGAGCGAGTCCGTGATAAACGAACCGCGAAGTAACGAGGGACCACTGTACAACTAATTATTTCAATGAGTTTTATAAACAAGAATTGGGTTCTCAAGTTTGAATTTATTGCAGATGTATCTAATCCACACAGAGTTTGTAACCTTCAACACATTTTTTTTACATAATTCTTGTTGATATTTGACCACTTTTTGTGGCAGAATTGACCAGACTTAAACATAGTTCTCATATTTTCAGTGGAGTTGAGGTTGGTGCTTTGTGGAAGCTTAGTTATTAGCCTGTTCATCCACTCAGACACCAGTTTGGGATAATTGTTAAGCTGGAACAGCCCACTGTGTCCAGATTTCAACTAACTAGCTGCTAATTTCTCATCCTGAGCCTGGTTCTGCTGGAGGTTTCTTCCTGTTGAAATGTAGTTTTTCCTTTCTACTGTTGCCTTTGTGCTTGCTCAGGATGGGAGACTGTGACAAAGTGACAATTCAATGCATTCTGCTGGCTTCCTTAGATATGTAACTTTTACTATTTGGCTTTTTTAAGCATGTGAATGTTTCCGTACAGTGCTCTGAGACGACTTCTGTTATGACTTGGTGCTATATAAATGAACTGAATTGAAGCTGAATTAATTTGAGGTGATGTAGAACTAAATATACTGGCAAAGAGAAACTACCAGCTGCAGACACTGAGAAGTTATTCCTTGGCCCTATTATTCCTTCAATCTTCAGCATCACTTGTTAAAAAAATACATGAATGTTTGTGTAAACTTGAGCCTGAACAGTCCCAAATGAATGACAAATGTCTGGCTTCCTATAAGCACAATATAGAAATGAGGGGGATCTCAAAATATTTGCTCAGGACTGTAGTTTATCCATGATGTCACCATCATGTTGAGCAGTAATGCACTTGTTTGAAAGATGATACCACAATCATCAATACGTATTTTAACTAAATAAATAATAAGTGATGTGGTTCTCTGATGGGTTTCTAACTATGTTTTCTCAGAGAGTGTGCTCTGGTAGCACTGAAAGACGTCAAGGTGTATCTGAATGAGGAAGGAGGTCAAATTGCTGTAAGGACACACACACAGAGACCAAAACAGAACAGTGTGTGTTGTTTGTGAATAAATGTTCGATTTACATAACAAGTTGTGTGTTGTTCCACAGGTTTTTGATGCCACAAACACCACACGAGAGAGGCGCATCCTCATCCATAATTTTGCACAGGAAAACGCCTACAAGGTGATTTCTGACTAAAGAGACACGATCTCCTCAGAGTTGACATCTTATTTCAGTGCATGTAGAAGATGATGAAGGCTCGGTGGCTTTACTAACAGCTCAAAGTCTTTTAAAGCATCTTAAGATAGTTCATTAATTCATGTTACAAGTATGGAAAGTACATGTTTCAATGTATTTTGTGAACTGAATGGTTTTGTTCTCTGACAGGTGTTTTTTGTTGAATCAATATGTGATGATCCAGAAGTCATAGCTGAAAATATTATGGTAATTTTTGTTTATTTGTAATTTTTTTGGGTGGATTCAATTAGCCACATGCTGTTGAAATGTTAAACTTTTTGGTGAATTATCCCTGCAAACATCTCACAGGAAGTGAAGGTGTCCAGCCCAGATTACCCTAAGAGGGACAGAGAAAGCGTCATGGATGATTTTCTGAAGAGAATAGAGTGTTACAAAGTGACCTACCAGCCTTTAGTTCCTGACGGACACGACAAGTAAGACATTTAATTATGAACTATTTCTAGTTCAGCCCTGATTTTTCTTGAGCTAGGAGTCATTCATGTCAGCGACTTGGAAAAGCTTGTATTTACAAGGTTTGTCCAGCAGGTGGAAACACGTTCATTTAAAACTCAAACCAGTGTTTTGATGGTCTCAACTTTGTGAAATTCCATCAGCTCTTAGTGTTGTTTTTTATTTCTTACAGATAAGCTGATAACATTTGTTTTGTTAAAAAGTTTCATTGTCTCTAGTTCATTTGGGAGGAATCTATTCACAGAGGTTTTCAGACTACACAGAAAGAACAAGATGTTCCCTGTTTATCCTTGAGTTTGTGTTTGTGCTGATATTTCTGATTGTCTCTTATCTTTTCTCGCCAACCCTCAGGAACTTGTCCTTCATCCAGGTCATTAATGTCGGCCGCCGTTTCCTGGTCAACAGGGTGCAGGACTACATCCAAAGTAAGATAGTCTATTACTTGATGAACATCCACGTCCACACCCACTCCATCTACCTGTGTCGGCACGGAGAAAGCCAACACAACCTGGAGGGACGCATCGGTGGAGACTCTGGCCTGTCAGAGAGAGGGAAGCAGGTGCCGTAACAAGTTTTGTGTTTCAAATGCTTGTGCAGGGATAAGCCATATAAAGACAGAGCAGGCGGTTCTGTCCAATCCAGTCACCTTCAAAATGTTACATTTTCCAGACCTGCAGTCTGTTTTAAAGTCACCTTGCACATTTCTGAGCACAGATCTAGTTCTTCAAGAAGTCCTGCAAAAATAAAGCAGTAGAGTTGAGAGCTTTTATTAAATTATATATATTTTTTTCTTTTCATGTATTTTTTTTTTCTTTTCATGTCAAAGTCTTAGCTGGAGTTACTGGGAGAGATCATATCTCTCCAGTTTTAGCTTCTGTCCACTGGCTCCTTGTTAAGTCCAGAACTGAATTCAAAATCTTACTTCTAACCTACAAAGCTCTCAACAACCTAGCTCCATCTTATATTACAGATCTTGCTGTTCCATATTTTCCTAACAGAGAACTTTGCTCTCAGACTGCAGGCTTACTCGTGGTTCCTAGAGTTTCCAAAAACAGAATGGGAGGAAGATCTTTCAGTTATCAGGCTCCTCTCTTGTGGAACCAACTTCCAGTTTCTGTCTGTGAGGCTGACACATTGTCCAGTTTTAAGACTGGGATTAAGGCTTTCCTTTTTGATAAATCCTTTAGTTAAGATGCTTGTTATGCTGCAATGGGTTTAGACTACTGGAGGACAAATTGACCTCATTTCCTTAAATGAATTGTTAAAATTGAATAGTTTTCATTTGATACTATTTCTTTCTTTTTTTTTTTTTTTTTTTTTTTTTTTTTTTTTTTG